CTGCTCCTGCTCCTCTTTCATTACTTCTTGCAAATTGGTTTTGAGTCTATAAAGTTCCTGATCCCTTTTTGTTAAACCTGGATATCTGTTCCTTCAAATCTCAATCAAAGTTTGTGTATGTAAAGTGTCCTTAGTGATATGTTCATTTCATTGAATTGTTTTAAAAACTACACCCCACCATTGTCTTTGGACTTGCAAGGTCTCATTTGGTAAATCTGCTGCAAATCTTCAGGAGACTTTTTTGTATGTAATTTCTTCCTGGAAGTTGGTGGTTTAGATCTTTACCTTTGGCTCTTGTCCGAATGTGTTTTGGGATGATTTTATTTGGATCTCTTTAGCTGATACCCTTCCATCTCTTGAATATGGATGCATGTGCTTTTCAGCTCTGGAAACTTCTCAGCCATGATTCCTTTGACTATAACTTTTTCACTGGAATTGCCTTCCTGGTCTTCTGAGACATGATGATTTTTGTGTTGTTCCTCTTGAATTCATCCCAAAGTTCTCTGTTTCCTGTTCACTTATTTTAATTTTTCCCTTCATATTTTTCTGTTGCCTGAAGTTTTTCTGCATCTCATCTTGGAGCTCACTGACTTTGTCCTCAGCTGCTACTAAGACCTTCCAGTGAGTTTTTCATTTCACCTACCAAATTCTTTAGATTTTTATGCCAGTGGGGGTGCCCGGGTGACTTAGGTGAAGTGGGAGGAGAGAGATAGTAGCCTCAAGAAGGGAATCTGCTGTTTTCTGTTTATGCCCTTCTGCTGCTTGGGGAGCAACAGGGGAAATCTAGGACTGTGAGCCTTGCTCCTTGCAGGAAAGGAAAGTCAGTCCTAGACCTTACCCAGTCCTGTTGAGATCTTACCTTTCTCTCAAAAAGGAATTTCAAGAGAAGACAAGCATTGAAGCATAACAGATTATATCTAGAAGGGTTTTTTTTTTAAAGAATTATTTTCAAAGAGTTTTTCACAGTAATTGATTACATTCACTATTTCAACACCAATACCACCACCATTATACCTTCACACCACGATTATTTAGGATTTTCCCACCACCACTTGAGTCTGCACCAAAGGCAGATGCTAAGTTATTTTGTATTGCTTGTTATGAATAATTAACTAAAAATTATCCAAAAAGATCACTTAGACGAAAGTATGTGAAAATTGTTGCATCTCATCTTGGAGCCCTTTAGCCCCTATATTAGAGATCACTAACATGTTGTTAGAGTTTGAAACTTTTGTGCTAATATCTATCTATATACATTGATCAAGATTAGTTTGTCTTCTACCTTACACCCCATCAAATGTGGTATGCTATTCTTAGTATATCAGTGGCATAATCATATGAGATGTCATGTGTGGCCGCAAAAGCAGCCACATGCTCCTGGGATTCTAAAATTTTTCATAGGGTGCTATAACTGAAGTTAAATTTTTTTAACTGGATGTTGATTTTGGGGTCTGGAGGCATCTCTGCAGCATGTTGCTCTTCTGCGATTCATCTGTGTGTCTCCGGATCATGGCTGTTAATGCGCTTAAATGGTGTCTAGAGATAATTCGTGGGCACGACTACCAGGAAAGCAGAAGCGCAGGGAGCTGAGATGAGGGGCCCATACCCAACTCTGGAAGCCTGGAGATTTCAGTCATAAGTCCCACATACCTGGGTTTTCAGCATATTCAATCTCATGCATGGGTGGGGGGTGGTAGTCGGGGTAAGCCTGTGAAGGTTGACCATGAGTGTGGAAGTGATTGGGTTCTAGAGGTTTACAGCTGCCAGGGTTCTTTTTTGGACAGATGGAGGGACTCACCTTCCCCCCTCTGAGGTGCCTGAATGTGGAATGGGGAGACATCTCTGCAGCGTGTTGCTCTCTTCCAAGATTCATTTGTGGGTCTAGAAGTTTTGAGGAAGGGGGTGGGGGGAAGAGGGAGAGAGAGAAATATAGATATACAGAGAGAGAGAGAGAGTGAACAGGCTTCTCAAAGGTGGAGAGGTTGCCAAAGTACACATCCCAGCATCTGATATGTAAGTATGAAAGTATACATCTTAAGAGGGGAGATGTTAATGACACATGTGCTTGGGTACCACAGGAGCTTGGCAGCAACACATGGACAGAGGCAATAATACATGGGCTCAGGCAGAATGTGTGCGCGCTTCCCTTATTTAGGTTGACTTTTATAGGGTTTCTCCCAAGCTGCCCCACATGGAGCTTTCTACCTAAGTAAGAGTCTGTTGCTAGAGTGATTACCAAGCGGTAGAGTTGGGAGTCGTTGATGATCTTCTATACTTTTCCTGGCCTTTGTTCCTGTTAGAGCTTCTTTCAGAGTGGGGTCCAACCTTCTCTGGGTCTGTGCTGGTGCCAGGTAAAGATCTTATCAGGCCTTAGTTCCTGTGTCCACAAGGCGGGCTTTTGCAGCCTTACAACTGTTGGTTTTCTTGCTTTCTGAGAATTCACTGCCATAGGCGACCTTCCCTATCTACCTGCCTGCCTGCTTCAGTTCTGTTCTTTCTGCTAGTGGTTTTCTCATTTCTGCTCTCCATTTTTTTATTGCTCTTTTTTTATTGACTCTGTGGCTTTTTATTTTTATTAAATGTTTTCAACCCTTCCTCTCTAAATTCTTGATTTGAGAGATATCGCTGGTCAGTATTGATTCAGTCTTCATGGATACACTCTGCTCATCAGTGGGTTTCTGTGCTGCTTTCCCACATCCCTGTTGCAGGTCTGTGATTTTATTGTCAGACTCAACTCTGCTCACTCCAGTATGAAGGGGAAAGTACTTTGTGCCTGCTTCTGAGCAGCCTAAGTAGCACTCCTCTCACTCTGGGTGTCTGGTCCACTGGGGGCACTCACTTGGGAAGTTAACAGGTTTGGAACAGTGGTGTGGTGACACTGCAGACAAGCTCTAACCCTCTGAATTTACATGGAGTTCTAATCTTAAATTTAAGTTGGTGCACATTGCATGGCAGAGAGCACAAACTCTTAAAATCCAGAATCCAGACCAAGGGACTCTCGGCTTTCCTTCTTTTTCAGAGTAGAGCTTCTGCGTAGAGGATTTCAGCATACTCTTCTCTCTTCTACTGGTAGACACTCTCTCCCTTCTTCTCCTCTCTCTCTCTCTCTCTCTCTCTTTCCTTTTTCTCTTCTCTCTCTCTCTCTGTGTCTCTTTCTCTGTCTCTTGGTGGGCCACACCAGGCAATGCTCAGGGATTACTCCCTGACTCTGTGCTCAGGAATCATTCCTGGCAGTGTTCAGGGATGTCAGGAATTAACCCAGGTCACCTGTGTGCAGGGCAAGCGCCTCACCTGCTATACTATCACTCTGCCTGACTCCCCACCCCGACTCTGCCCTTTTAAATCCCATTTTCTTCCCTGTTGTTGTGATCACCAGGGGTCACACTCTTACTTAATCATAGTACCCACACACTATACCATGGTGCTCACTGGAGAGTTATGTATCTGGTTGCAGTGTTTGACAGAAATTACATACTTCAGTTGTGATGCTTGCATATATGCTCACATCTTTAGCTGTGGCGCTTGGGCATTTTCTGGTAGTAGTGCTCAATGAATTGCTGTGGTGCTCACACAGTGATCACCTGGGGGGTGTCACATTTCCTGGCTGCAATTGTCACACATCTTTTTTTTCTATTCTTATTTTTTATTGATTGAGGCTCTATGATTTACAACTTTACTGAAGATGACTTCCTGTGCACATATTCCAACACTACACTCATTACCAGTGTACTACCTCTCTTCCTCAAGGTGTTTGATGCCCTTTCAATGCCCTCCCCTGAAAAAAAAAACCCTCTCAGTTATGCATATCTATTCTCTTGTTGTGTTCCCTTTGGCCCTTTGTTGTTACCTTGCAATGTATCTTTAAATCCCACAAATGATAGAGATATCATTCTGTTACTACTCTTTTCTTCTGACTTATTTCACTCTGCAAAATGTCCACTAGTTCCATCCATGTCGTGGCAAACTACATGATTTTGTTCTTTCATAGAACTGCATAGTATTTCATTGTGTATATATATACCACAGCTTCTTGATCTATTTTTCATTCATAGTTGAACATTTGGGTTGTTTGCTTTTATCTTGGCAATTGGACTTAGTGCTGTAATGAACATAGATGTGCAGACATCCTTTCAAATTACTGTTTTTGCAACACATTGTTTTTAGTTGTGATACTCTCTGGGGTTACATACCCCAATTGTGGAGCTCAGGCACATCTGGGTGTGTGCTGAAAATTATATACTCTGTTGCAATATGAGGATAGATCCAGATAGCAGAGTTGCTGGGACCAAGCTCGGCATTTGTAGTCAACACCAGAAACTGAACTTGTGGCTTCACTTGCAAGAGAGTGTTTTTTGTCTTTGAACCATCCCTGGGCTTTTAGCCTCCATTCTTAACCCTAATCTTTTATGTCAGAATTTAAGCTTTGATGTTTCCCACTTCCTTCCTATGGTTACTTTAACTAAAGTGAGTCAGGTTTTACTGAAAAACTGACCACAGTTGGTTCACTCCCACCCTCAACTCCACAAAGACTGCCTGGTCAGAACATGAGGGGATCAGTGTTTACTCAGCCCGTTCTTAATCTGTTTCTCATCCATGTCATGAGACTTTGGGTAGGGCTTCCCCCAACACCAAATTTCACCCAGCAGACCACAATTAAAAAACCAGTCTATCGTTTGTCTGATGATTTGAGGAGGGAACAAGAACTGCAATATTTTGGGAGTCCTTCGGAATTCTAGTAAGCAGTCAATTGATGGCAGTATTAGACTCTACAGGGTAGGTCTGCTTTCTTTGATCTCATCTCAAGGAATATTTGTACAAGTGTTTAGTTATAAGCACCATTAGCAACCATCTGTGTGTATGGGAAATCTGGGAGAGGGTAGTCAACTTTCTTATCTGGAATGCAGAAACCATTCATATGGTCTCTCCTAATTCGGAAACTTGGAGGGAACAATTTTAGTTAGATAGAAGTCAAATGACACCAAGCATGATTTTAATGGCACAGTTTTTTAATCAAAATTAAAATCTGTTATGAAGACAGACAAACATTGTAACATTCCCAGAGGAATTGAATTGCTTCTAGTTAAAACTGAGTTCTATTAGAACCAACTTGAAGTTGTTATAAATAACAAGAAAAACACAGTTTTTATGAAAGTAAGGTTGGGGAAAATCCCTATGAGCCACTGAAATATAAATGATCAAAGGGACTCCCTATTTCTCTTCCGAAGTCAGTCTTTGTAATACTCTGGAAGTCTTAGAGCCTGGCTTAAAAGGAGTTAGAGGGAGGTCACAACAGTTATAAAGAATAATGTCTTGGAATAGAAGTTTCAGTTAGCTCCCCAAGAAATAATTTCTCTTAAAACACTCAACCATACAGATAAAAAAATAAATACTGAAAAAAAATAATTGTGGGCTTCTTTCTAAAGAATTCACAGAGAAGCTCAGTAAATAAATAGAAATGGGAGGTGAGGTAAGAGAGGTAATAAATATCTAGGAGGGAGGTATAGTGAAGTTCTCCAAGAGGTGATCCAGAATCCTGTATCAGAATATGGAGATCCACAGTTTGTGTTCTGGAGCTTAGCAGAGTCAATATCCTGGAGGTGGGCTCCCAAGGGGGGTTTCATTGTTGACTTCTCATTGTAATGTAGGCTTCTATGTAGTTGATGAAGATGTCAAATTCACTCATGGCTTTGTAGACTCCTTTCTCTTGGAGCTGTGTAGATAATAGACAGGGAAATTCCCATCAGAGTCCCTCTTTGATAGTCTGGGGCCCAGAAGCTGTACTTTCAGCCATAAGTGAAGGACCAAAGCTAGGAAGCTGAATCTGGGCCATGCTGCTTTTGGAAAGAGTGCAGACTTCAAGTAGGCTAGCAAGAGTAACATGCTCTTTGCCAAGTACAGTCTTGAAAATAGTGCCTTTTCAACAATTTTAAAGGTCATGTTCCTCATGAAACTTATTCACACTTTAATGAAAAGACAGAACCCCTGTGATAGTGAGATAGTGAGAGGAGAGAAAGAGGCCTTTCTTATACTGTCCTGTTGCTCTGCTGACCCTCAGAGGACTCAGGTCTCCTTTGGTAGAAACCCTGCCCAGTGTGTGTCATCAGCACTGGAAGAGTGTAGAGACCACCTGGTTTCTAGGACATGACATTTACAAGGTTTACAGACAGATGAAGTGTAAGTCTTCATTTGTTTGAGAGTTGATATATTCAGTTGTGGCCAACTTCAAAATGAGAACTCTGCTTGCCTATCCTGTTTGAGTTTTGTGGAGTCTGGACTGAGCCTCTGGCTGTGTGTTTATGTGTGTGCACTGCTCATGTGTTGGCTTCCTGCACGTGTGTGTTCAGACTAGATTCCCAAACGAACTGCTTTCTGTTTCCTTTGTCACTCTCCCCAGCACTTGGCTTGCTGTTCACAGGTTCGCTGGCTGGCTGAACCCACAGGCTTGTGAAGATAGTGAGCAGTCATTTAGAAACCCCCAAAGACACTTCACAGAAAACAAATATAACCAAGGCAGCACCTCCTCACCGACTGAGGAGGTCACACCATTTTTGGTGGGGGGAGGGGAGTTCCCAGACTGCATATGAGCAAAAGACAGTGCTGTTTAGGAGTAATGTCAGTTCCTTGGGGTGTAGGCAGAAGCATGTTCCCTAAATTGTCACCACCTGGACTCACCTTAGTGAAGACACTCTTCACCTGCTCCACTGCTTTGCTCTTGTTTTCACAAGGCAGAAACTGATGCTGTGAAGGAAATGAGAAAGTATTAACAACAATTGGCTACTTCCTTTATAATACTTGGGGGACAATAGGGCCACATGAAGAAGGGGTCAGACTCCTCTTGAGTGCCTACCCACAGAGTTCATGCAAAGAGCTGAGCCCTCCCTCATTCTGTCCCAAAGGAAAGAGAAGAAGCAACTCGGTGTGATGCAATATGTTTTTCAGGGAGTCACTTTGAATTGTTTGCAGGGTTTGCATGAAAATCCCTAGCTTGGGGTTTCCGCCTTCCAAATGCCACAGAACAAGCTAGAGTGCTGAGTCACCATTCATTCTCCTTCCCTGCTCCTCTCTCCTGTCCCTTTGGCCCAGTGACTGTGGACAGGTTCTAAATTCATGAGAACAGATACACAGTCTTAGCTGTGCAGTTCAAAGCATTTGCAAATAGACCTGTCTTCCAACTGCCTTCCCAGAATCAATAAGAGAACAGGAGAAACTAGTGGTTGTAGGACTAGGTTACTTGGAAAAGTCAATAACTTGGGAGACTCAAAGAAACTGGCCTTCAAAGGGCAGGGGTGTGTGTGTGTGTGTGTGTAGGGGGGTGGGGAAGGGAAAGGACTCCCTGGCCAATCTCACACATCAGGGAAAATCCTGTCAGTCAAGCCCCACTTGGAGTGAAAGTTCTTTCAGAAGGTGAAGAATATGAGGTTACTGCTATTTCCTCTCAAAGTAGCCCTCACCCTCTGGTTCCTTCTGCTGAGCCCACATCCTAGGTCCAAAGGGACAAGGTTGCCCTGGCTGGAGCTCTGAGCTCCTTCCATGAAAGGGGGAGGGTGGATTAGTTAATCCACAAATGACTCACAAAGAAACAGAAAAGCTGTTTGCAAATCTACACATGTAAATGCTTAGTAGCTCTCCCCACCCCCTGCTCAGAGAGAAATGAGAGAGAAGATGAGAGAAGATGAAACTTCTGCTAGTCTGTGCCTCTGAGTGTGTTAAGAGACGTTAAGAGGTGGTGTTTTGGGAAGAGTTTGCAAAGGAAAGAACTGGTCTGTTACTCACACAGCGCCGCAGTCTCAGCCTGAGGGTCTTCAACTTTTCTCCTAAGGAGTTAACGTGCTCCTTGATGTCTGGACCCTGGTTCTCAGCCTGGGGCATCACCTTCTCCAGATAAAACTGGATCATCTCTGACAAGGCTTGGCAACCCAGGTAACCCTAAGGGTAGGAACAGGTAGGGGGGTTGTAATGGGAGGAAGGGCTCCTGCAAGCTCCAGAAAATAGCTTTGTCCCCAGATCACCTCCCCCCCGCCCCCCCCAGGACTGAGCCCTGTGGATGCTGGCCATCCGCTGAGTTAAGATCTTCCCACTTCTCCTTTTCAAAGTGAAGGAAGCAGATCCAGCTCCTGCTGGCGTGAAGACTCCCTTTCCTCCGTCACACTGCACACCCTCACTTCCCCCAGTGGTTGTTCTTACCCTAAAATCTTCCAGCAGTGACCCACTCAACAGCATGCTGTCCACTTGGTCCTTTGTTTGCTGCAAGATAAACAAAAAGGAGAATAAATCTGAGGTCTGGGGAAATACCTGAAATACCAGAAATGTTTCTTGGTATCCTTTTACTAATAGAAATTTTGATTTGTAGTTAAAACAGCCTTGACTCTAAAATGAAAAGGAGAGTTCCAAATAGGACACATAATGGGTGCTGGAACACTTTGTTAAAGCAGGTTTCTCTACTTATTTAAAAAAAAAAAAATCTGGCCTGTCTTAAAGCAAGGTGGAAGCTTGACTGGGTCCTGGTCTTTTTCTCTAGTTCCATATCAGGTTTGTCGGGCCACCCTCCTCAGTCCCCAGGGTCTCACGTCTCTGCTCCTGCTCAGCTCTTTGCTTTTCTTTGTCCCTCTGTAAGACATGAGCTCTGATACGAAAGGTGTCTAGCTTTGGGCAACACTTCCTAAGCTAAGGAAAAGGCAATTTTTGTTTCCTCACCTTGAGGTCTGGGGAGGCAGTAACCTCCTATCAGACCCTTCTTAACTTCTTGTAGCCAAGCAAGCATCAAAATTCAGGGGACTTTATTAGAAGTTCCAGAGCACAGGAGACACCATGCATTGACTTTCTCTGTATGTTGGCTATATCAGCCTTATGGAGTATAACTAACTGAACTCCTGGCTCCATGAGGGACTCCCTTATATATAAGATTTAAGTTTGTGCAAGATGAGTCCTGGGAGGAAGTGAAGAAGATAGGATTCTCATAGCTCTAGCAGAGTGCCATTTGGCTAGCCCTAGGAAGGATGGAAGGAAGAGATGGTATCATACTCACAAAGAAAACCTTCACCCTGCTGAAGGCTAAGCGGAGCTCCCGGAGCATGTGGGGCAGGCTGGCTGGGAAGTGGACACAGCTGTTCTCGTACTGGATGCCATGGGCTTGACAGGCATCCATCCCAGCCAGCAAAACCAGGCAGCATAGCAGTGCAGAGCTGGACATAGTGGAGCTCTCTGCCTTCTTCGAGTCAGCCTTGTGGTTTGGTTTTGAAAGAGTAAGCCTCTGATATGTAGACCTTCACCTGCTGTGTCCCCCTTTTATAGTGTTCAATGAAGTCATTCATAAAAAGTCACAGAGTCACAGATTTCCTGGTAAACTTTTTTCTCTGATCCAAGCTCCTCCCTTTCGTCGAAATCTCTAACTTTGCATTTATTAAACTTCTTACTCTACTAGTTTTCAATTTTTGCATTGTAAGCAAAAGGAATGGTTGAAAAACCGAACTTCTGCATGGCTATTTTTAGATGGAGCTACCTTTCTCTTTTAAAATTAAAATTCAGCTTCTCTTGATTGAGAACTTAATTTCCGCAGATGAGTGGCTATTCTGTGTACAAAGATCCAGAGTTGTGGGTTCCTCTGGCGTGTGCCTAGGTCACAGTGACGTGGATGAACTGGCCATTCCACAATCCGCTAGGATCCAGAAATAACTTCGATTCTTTCCCACCTCATCAGAACGCCCAGTTTAGCAACTTCTTTTTATTAAATTGGGGGGTCATATCAGCTCTTTGGGTCTGAACTTCTGTTCCAACCCTGCGTCCTGAAAAGGCTAGCCTCACAGAAATTAGGCAGGAATGTGGGCTGAACTTCAGGCTTTTTCTCTGGTCCTGGGTTCAATGAGATGGTCAGGTCAATTATCTTATCTTTTTACTTTGTCCAGTACCGAATGCTGGCATGAGAAGGCTGCACTCACTGAAAGTCAGTCACGGTTACCCAGTGAGGCATAGAGATATTAAACTGTGTGTACCAGTTCACATGAATCAGAGTGAGGAAACCAAGGTCTGGTGTACTCTATTGCTGAACTCATATCTTACACTTTACTGGCTACTCAGTATATAGAGTCAAAAGACTCATTTTTATATTTAGAAACATTTTAGAATTTTAGGCAGCATTATTTACAATGCCATTAATGATAGGATTTTGTGCATACACTGCTCCAACATCACACCCTCCACAAGAGTATCCCCTGTTCAGCCTCTCCCTTACTCACTATCTCCCCACCATAATAAGCTTATTTTTATAGATTATTTTACAGGTTCTGTTACCTTCAGCCTTGTGTTATTCATACACTATGTTTCTTTATATCCCAAATATAAGGGAAATTGTTCTGTATATGTTTTTCTCCTTCTGACTTCATTTAGCATGATACTCCTTCAGGGGAGCCTATACATGTACAATGAAAAGAACAGCAGCAATTTTCATGGTTTCATCTTATAGCTGAGTAGTATTCCATTGTCCCTTAACCCAGTCATCTGTTATTAGACACTTGAGCTGTTTCCAGATTTGAAGTATTGTGAATAGTTCTACAATGAGCATAGGAGAGAATAAAAAAATTTTTTTTCTTAATTATTTTTTAAATTAATGAATCACCATGAGGTACAGTTATAGACTTATAAACTTGAATGCTTTTGTTTCAGTCAGCACCCATCCCTCCACCAATGCCCATTCACCACCACCAATATCACTAGTATCTCTCCCATCCACCCCTAAATCCCACCCTCCCCCCAACCCGACTCTGTGGCAGGCGCATTCCCCTTTACTCTTTCTCTCTCCTTTTGGGTGGTTTGCAATACAGGTATCAAGTGACCATAATGTTTGGTCTATAGTTTATTTTCAGCACACATCTCCCATCCCAAGTGGGCCCTCCAAGCACTCTTTACTTGGTGGTCCTCTCTATCTGAGCTTCCTTTATCCCCAGCATGTGAAGCCAGCTTTCAAGCCATGGAGCAATCCTTCTGGTCCTTATCTTTACTATCCTTGGGTGTTAGTCTCCCATTCTGTTACTTTGTGAGAATAAAAGAATTTTTAAGTGTTCTTTTAATTGTACACGTCTAGGCTTCCCTGAAATATGGGGAGAAAGAAGAAATAACAAAATAAGTCAGAGTTCCATGAAGACTTCACAGCAGTTCTCCTTCTTTCCTCTTACTTATTCCTTCTCCCTTTTCCCAGAAAAGTTTTAGTGGTCTAAAGCTGCATGTAGTGGGGGCAGAGGTTGCAGAGGGGAGGGGGTGGAAGATAGCCAAATGGAACAAGGAATATAATTTTAGTTCCTTTTAGAAAGAATGGAAGTGGTAACATTGCCTTTTCAGGTATCTGGAAATCCTCTGGGCATCATTTGTGTTTTAAGCGCCCTTCTGCAAGAGCTTTTCTCACCATCCCAAGAAGCTGGATGAGCACAGATCTGGCAGGGGAGATGGTCTATTGTTTGCCCTGACTCTCCCCTCTTTAAGCTCAGGATAAGTAACTTGATTTCTCTGTGTCTGCTTTTTAATTTGTTCCAAGGGGGAAAGCGCCATTGCCAGAAGCCTTTGGACTCACATAGTTGGGGATTGGGACAGAAACAAGTGGATCCAGATATAGGACATTGCAGTATGTCTGTTATTTCCCTGTCTTCTGCACCAGCAATGCAGCACTACAAATGGTACAAGGTAAGGGACTGACCCACTGGCGAAAGGTTTCTAACCAGAGAAAATGGGGCAGAGATTGTGGGAGAGAGCCAAGATGCAGTGAGTAGAAAGTAAAAGTGAGAGGGTTCAGACCCACTTTATGGATATACCTTATGGATAAGGATTAGGGGGCTACCTCTCCTCCCAATCATTTAAAGTGTATCAAGGCAGATAAGAGCCAGGAAGGAAAGCACTGTTTGGTAACAAGAATGGATGTATTGTGGCAATTGCTACTTCTGCCACAAGTTTAGACTTCTTCTAAACTTAGGAGTACTAAGTTTAGCCATTGCAGCACGGGAAGAAGAGAGGCCAGGAGCCAGGTTTTGTATCTTCTATCCCTTTCTCTTGACTACTTAGTTTTCTGGGTTGTGCCTCTGTAAGCCCATAGAGCTAACTTTATAGCTGTACTGGATTTGCCAGCACATGTTCACTGTGGCAAACCTGTCAGGATACAAATGCTGGTGAGGCTAGGAGACCTGATGCAGGCAGCATAGATCCTCAGCTCTTTTATTTTATACCACACCCTGTGTTTAGGGAATCCCTTTAGAGAATTCCCTAAACCTGTAGCAGATTCCACAGCCATTCTTATGCTTTGTCTTCCCCCAATTAGCTGTGAGTTTCCTAAAGCAGGATGGATAGGGTCTGACTCAGGGAAGTTGCCAGGTTTGCAGAATCTTCTTTTCTATGTTGGGGTGGGCATAATAGAATATACTGTGAAATTAGACAGATTAAAAAAAGCAAGGGTGCTTAGAACACAGGCCAGCACTCGGATGTCCAGCAATTGGGGCAGGGAAATAGCTAGCATTTCCACTTTCTTCTCATTCTGTATGTATAAATGTAAAACCACAAATATGCATGAGATATCAAAAGAAGGAAAGTGGGAAACTGCAATTTCTTTCTGTATTAATAATTAATTTGAGGAAGACTTTGACTTTATTATTTGTATTTAGAACTTCAAGCCAAGAAGTTATCTCAAACCATTTGTTGAGTAACCAATTTTTTCCTCATTGATTTGAATTTTTTATCTTTTTTCACCTCAGAATTTCAGAATATAAATGGTTGGACAGGCATCAGCAAGTTCCTTAATGAAATATATTAATTAAAAAATCAAAATAGCTCCTAAGATTAATGTCAAAGTGATACAAGAGAATAGCATGAACGTTCTAGGTAAAGTTAAGACTGTGCTTTTATAAACCAGCAAGAACAATAAAGATAACTTCCTACAATCCTTTAAGAAAAATTATGAGCTCATACCTGATACCTATGACAATAATCTATTTAGGAAATTACAGTTTGGAATTTTGTTCAAAGCAAGAGCTTGTGTAGTGAAAGAAATAAGAAAGAGGCAACTACATTATTGGATGGGGTCTCATTCTAGTTATCATTTGTTTCTGAGGATTTCAAGGAGCTCAAATACCACTCATCAGATTCTGAGCTCCATGAGGGAAAATGATCTAAGTCCAATTTAGTTGAAATTCACTTTAATAAATGGTAAGGAATTCTCATGTGTGTGTGTGTGTGTGTGTGTGTGTGTGTGTGTGTGTGTGTGTATGTGTATGTGTGTGTGTGTGCAGGTTCTGGAAGGTCCTATTTTCAGGCCATAAGATTTTTAAAACCATACCTGGCCTAGCTAACCTATCCCTCACAGAAATTCTAGTCATGCTTAAAGGTAAGAAAAGGAGCCAAGGGGCTGGAGCGATAGCACAGCAAGGAGGGCGGTTGCCTTGCACGTGGCAGACCTGGGTTCAATTCCCAGCATCCCATATGGTCCCCTGAGCACTGCTAGGAGTAATTCCTGAGTGCATGAGCCAGGAATAACCCCTGAGCATCTCTGGGTGTGACTCAAAAGGCAAAACAAACAAACATAAAAAAAAAAAAAGAAAAGAAAAGGAGACATATGGGTCTGCACTGAAGTCACAAAGAAAGACTAAGGAACCCGGACGTGTTGGATGCAGGATTCAGAGAGCTTGCCTGGTATGATGCATGTAGAGAGGTGGACTAGAGTCATCTGGGGTGAGGAAGATGACTGTCCTGATGAAGAATCCCCTTGAGACTTGGCTCCTACTTGTCATGGGAGTTTCATTTCTTCTTATTCAAGACATCTACTGTGTACAATAGTTTTCCCAGCTGAAATTTCTAGTATTCCCTTGAATAACCTTTCTGGACAGATTTTTTTCTTCATCAGTTATGCTGCAACAAGCTGGGTCAATAGGACAGTCTGGCATCACACCCCCAACCCCCACCCCAAGCGTGACGGGGCCCTATTGCGATCAGGCCTGCAGGCGCTGCAAACCACAGCGGAAGAGCTGATTTCTGGACAGGCACGTGGAATTCCCCTTTGTGCAACCGGGGCACCAAGTCGTTTGACTCTGGATTTTCCTTAGGGGATGGATCTCTAACTTCTCATAAGAAATCTGGCTTAGAGGGGCCAGAACAACAGGTGTCCGATCAAGGAATATAACTGTTTTGCTCTGTGTGCAAGATTATTTAGAATAGTCTTTCCCAAAGTAGTTGAAACTGACCTTCTGGGCAGGAGTAGTGCT